ATAAGGTAGCATTGTGAACAAATTGCCAAACAAAATGGAGATAGTATTTAGCAAGGCTTTAAATTGAGTAAACTTCAAAAGCATCTTTGAGGGTTGGCCAATCCTCCATTGCTTTTACCTTATCTTATTCCATACACATGCCTTAGGAGCACACTACATATCCCAAAAAGGTGACTTTCAATTTTTAAAGTTCTTATTTTGATTGCTTGCAATAGAAGCGACTATCTTGCAGCCAACGCATCATCTTTTGTTAGTATTGTTCTTGCTCTTTAAAGATTTTATTATATTTGAGGATATCATCAATGAAGGCAACTATGTACTTGTCCAAAAGGTCTCAAAATAATCTATTCATCTGACTCATAAAAGATAATGGAGCATTAGTGAAACCAAAGAGAAAAACCAACCATTTAAAATGTTTACAGCGCATACAAAATGCCAACTTTTCTACATCCTCTCTTGCAATAGGTTTTTGCCAATAGCTACTCCTAAGATCCAATTTACTGAAGATTATTGAATCTCAAGGTTGGTCAAAAAGATCATCTACGCGTAAAAGTAGATATGTATCTTTAACAATCTGCTTATTAAGGCTTCAATAGTCAATGCAGTTAAAAAGTTTACCATCTTTTTTGGATGCAAAGAGTACAAATGTTCTTGATGGTGATATGCTTTTTTGAATGAGGCCCTTCTCCAAGAATTTGTCCAATATTTTTTGCAGCTCTTCAAGTTTTTTTGATACTAAGTGATATATTGGTCGACTTGCTAGTTTAGTTGCAAGGAATAGTTCTTTTTGAAAGAAGGCACCTTGATCTGAAGGTACACCATTAGGTAGGTTGATTGAAAAGACAACTTGATATTCTTGTATGAGTTGCTCTGCTTATTCTATCTTTTTAGCTGTCTTTGCCACTAGTGATGCAAGATTCAAAACCACCATATGTACTGGTTTTTCATGTTGTAATTGCTTCTTTATAAAGGTCATCTCTACAAGTAAGTCTTTGATTGCAAGTTGTCTTTTTTCTTTCCTTGATGTGGAGGTACAAAGAATTACCTTGCATCTTCCATCTTTAAAAGAGATTGTCCTTAATATCCAACCAACTTGCTTATTTCTCATGTCTAGCCATAGTATACCAAGGATAACATCATACTTTAGATTTGTCACTTTAAACTTTTTCTTAAGACGTAGGTATCTATCAATCTCAAGGTTTCTTCTTCACATGTCTCACTCAACACATTCTCTCAATCATTTCCAAAGTATATACTTCCTCCTTTGATTGCCTTAGTTTTAATTTCAAGTCAATCGGTAATTTTAATTGAAATACAATTTTCTGTAGAGTTATAATCTACAAGCACTTGACATGGTTGTCCTCTTAATAGTTTCATTAGATATTTCAATTGACTCTTTTTATAGTTATTCGAGGCTATACTATTGGTCTCTAAGACACAATAGCTATCTCTAGTGCTAGCTCTCGACATCTTATTGAGGAGCCTTGTTTTCCTACTCTGACTTATTATCGACTTAGTGAGTTTTGAGAACATAAATCTGCCTTGTCTTACTTGTACTTACACTTTGACATTTTGGACAATCTCCAATTTGATGGCCTAGCTCTCGAAAATAAAAACATAATCTTTTTTGTACCAATATTTGTCATCTTTGTGGTGTCAATGATCTTTGTAGGGCATCAATCTCCATTGGCATTGGTTTTTGTATCATAATATTAGATAGTGGTATAGGACTTCGTGCTATAGGTCGTGCTCCATGATTTTTAAAATCTATAGCATCGATCTTCACAGCAATCCAAATTACTTCTTTGAATGTTTGTAGATCCATTAGTTCCACCTCTTGTTGGATTCCAAATTTTAAACCTTATAAGAATTGATCCATCATCTCCACTTCCAAAATATTCCTAATTTGGAGACATAAGGACTTGAATTGGGAGACATAATCTTGCACCAACTTAGCTTGTATAAAATTTGCCAACTGAACGTATACTATCTTTTCAACATTGATGGATTATAATTAATTCCTAAACTCAATCTCAAACTCCTCCTAGTTACAAAATCCACCTTAAGCTCTATAGCTTTGAACTCAATGTCGCCACCAAATGGTTGTCACATCTTTCAAATAGCTAGCTGCATATTTAATTCCTTCAATGGTATTTGCCCTCTATAGTTTGAGGTATTATTGTAGGTTGAAGAGCCATTGACATACAACTTCTTGTCTAAAAGTTCTAAAGTATGTACTAGGCTTATTCAATTTCAACCTAGTAGATGTCAACTCTCTTGTCCTCAAGGCCTCTATTTATCCTTGCAAAGTAACTATTTAGCCTAAAAGGTGTTGTATTCGAGTCTCCATTTGGGATGGCTCTACCATATATTACATATTATAATTTCTCTACTAGACTCCACTATTATAATGTCTTTTTACCTCTCGATTGATTTCTTAAGAGTAGCTCTTGGTAGCTTCAACACAATACCTAGTGGGACTACAACAATTGACCTTAGACTATATGATGACAATTGATATGCTACCAAAAGTAAACAATCTAATACTTACTTTGATATCAATGAAATAGGGCCAGATTATCTCAAAAATCTAAGATCCTTGTATTTCACAACAACATAAAACCTCATTACAAAATATGAAAAAACAGACCAAAACAAATTTGAACAAAAGAATACAAAACCAAACTTTATTAAGAGAAAGGGTCTGAAGCCCTATCTAACCATGTGCCTCAAAAGGCCCTAGCTAGTCCTATTTATACCTTGTTCTACCACTCTGGACTTTCTAGAATGTTCCTAAGTAATGGACTCCACCTATGTAACCACCCTAAGCCTTTTCTGGAAGGTTCTACAATGGATCTTATCTAGTATATTAACCTAACATTAATTCTAGAAACTGCCATGGTTCTAACTATATATACAATTATCTTATCTATACCATGTTATAGTTATCCTTGATGCTAATTTTGCAACGAATGGAGGGTATTCAAAGAATAATCACAACTTTGTCATCTTTTATTATTCATCTATAGATGAAGATTATAATTAAGTCAATACTATAATGTTGTTGTTGATATTCAAAATTATAAGGTCTTAACTTGTATATTTATACCATGTTGTTTTACAATGGTAGTGAATTCAATATAAGTTTTTAATTAGATTGTTTGAATTACTTTTTTGATTTTTTATAATTTTTATGTTGTATTTAAGTTTTTACTAATTATTAAGGATATAAATCACAAACAATAAAACCTCAATATACTCTTATGTCATTTGAAAAAAATAGATATTCACTTAAAATTAATAAGATATTGAAACTATAATGGCTATTGTCAAAGACAAAAAGATTAAAAACTTTAAAGGCAACATTAAGGACTAAAAAGGCATTGAAAAGTGTGAAGAAGGCCTTACTTTTGCCTCCATATATATTATTTAATTAAAATTTATGTAGCAACCTTCTATAGAACCTTCAATATATATCTAACTTATACGACACATGTCTAACTTTCAAGACAAGTTTTTTACATATATGCCACATAGCCAACTTGTACTACAAGCTACCAACATTTGGAACACATGGCTAACTTGTTGGCCAAGTTTTCAACCTATCAATCAACTACAAATACATCTAAAGTCAAATCCACGTCTTTGTAGCTTCTAAGAAGTTTCACCTCAAAATATTATCAAATCTACTTACATTTATCAACTATCTAAAACTTCTTATCAAAGTAAATCTATATATATTCATAATACTAACATACTTTGATTTACTGTCATGATTACAATGTACTTGCAAGAATTTTCTTCTACAAATTGTTTACAATCTTCATCGCTAATTTTGGACCAAAATTATCAACATTAAGGAAGCTTCAACTGATTCTCTAGGAATTATTTTATTTTATTTTTACTTAAGGTAGTATACTAGACAAGAATTTAGTTCTAGTGAAGTTTGTAGGCATTGGTGAGGGAATTAACAACTTACAGCGTTTTAATGCCTAATCATTTGTAGATGCTATTTTTTCTCAACTATTTTTTTTAATTAAAAAATCTCATATTAGTTAGTTCAATAAATTTTGACTTAAGTAGATTCAAAATAATGATTCATGGTCATCAATGGATACTTGGAGACATTTCATTGTGTTTATATGTGGAAAATTGATCTTGTCATCTTCAAATCACCTAATATACATCTTGAACACTTTTAATTTCCACTTGAGCATCATTTTCATGAATTTTAATGTGTAAATTTGTGAATGTACAACCTACTTTGAATAAGTGAATAAAATCTATTGTTAAATTGTATTGTGTTGCATTAGTTTTGTAGGATTTAGTTCTAATTTAATATTTTTAATTATCCTTTTTTGTAAGATGATCCTATATCTACTTTAAAGAAAAAAAAAACAAATAAATTTGCTAATTTCACTAATTTGTTTTTATAAATATATATATATATATATATAACAACTATAGTTGTGGTCTTTTGTTTAAATAGAATCATACAAGTTTTAATATTATCTACTTTAAAATAAACCAAAAAAAAAATTACACATACATATACATATACATATATATAAATACATAAACTTTAAAAATTCTAAATTTAGAAATAAAACCAATATTTTAATATATTTTTTGGAGAAATAATTCTTTTTCTGTTCTTTGGTGATTGAATTATGCATCAACAATTCATAAAAAAATCATTAAGAAATTAATCCTTTTAAGAGATAATTAATAAAAGGTTTATCAATGTAAACATTAATGCAAATACCAATCTATGATGCATGAAAAGGTTGTTGTGTAGTATGTATGTACATATAAAAGTGAGTACGTGTGTATATATATATGTATATATATATATATGTATACACGAACACAACAGAGAAAGTTAACTAGGAAGCAGCCGCCATGGCCCTGCCACTGATGTCGAAGCCTGGAAATGGGGTGGGCTCCATTTCTTTCCTTTCCTTTCCTTATCTTGCTAGGCTTAGGGTTTTAGGAGGATTTGGGGGACGGGGACGGGGGGTGGAGGAAGGCGGTGGAGGTGGAGGCCAAGCTGCTCTCTCTCCCTTGCAATCCAAAACCTCTGCGCACTCGATCCCCTCGCCCCGCCTCGCATTCCCTTCCCTCCCCTTCTCCTTTCAGTTCTCTACTTACTTCTATTGCAGTTGCTGCGCAGGCAAAGCGCGACGGCTCGCAGATCCGATTGGGAGGGAGGGGCTGCGCAGGATTGGTGTCATCTATCGATCATGGGTTCCAACGGTGACTACAGTTTTGTGAGCGATGGGTTTTCCGCTGGGTCTCTGTTCAAGCAAGGATTCTCCTACACGTACGACGATCTCATTTTCCACCCAGGCTACATTAATTTCGCCGTGGACGACGTAGATCTTTCTACGTCGCTCACGAGGAACATCAAGCTGCGGACGCCATGTGTTTCTTCGCCTATGGATACCGTGACGGAGGAGTCCATGGCTGTGGCAATGGCAGCTGTCGGAGGCATTGGCTTTGTGCATTACAACAACACGGCGCAGGAGCAAGCGGATATTGTGAAGAAAGCGAAGAAGCAGAGGGTAGGGTTTGTGGCGAATCCTGTGTGTGTTTCGCCTTCGGATACTATCTCTGTTATTGATTCGTTAAAGGCTAGCAAGGGTTTTTCGTCCGTAGTTGTGACGGAGGATGGTAAGGTTGGGTCGAGGTTGGTAGGAATTGTGACCAGTCGGGACGTAGATTTTGTGCGCGACCGGAGCACCCAAGTGCGGGAGGTTATGAGCACGGACCTCTTGATTGCTCCCGCAGGTACTACACTGGAAGAAGCGACTAAAATTCTGACTCGAAACAAGAAGAGTTTGCTACCCCTCGTTTCGGAGAGCGGAAGCTTCGTCGAGCTTTTGTGCCGGACTGATTTGAAGGCTTACCATGCGTTGCCGCCTATTGGCGCACCATCTCTTGGCTCTGATGATAAAATTCTTGTCGGCGCTGCAATTGGTACCCGCGAGAGTGACAAAGACCGGTTGAAACTGCTTGTGGAAGCTGGTGTAAATGTTGTTATTCTCGATAGCTCGCAGGGGGATTCCATGTACCAGAGGCAGATGATTGAGTATATCAAGAAATCACATGCTGGGTTGGATGTCATCGGAGGAAATGTTGTTACTGCGTACCAAGCGAAGAACTTGATTGAAGCCGGTGTGGATGGGTTGCGGGTTGGCATGGGCTCTGGCTCCATCTGCACAACGCAGGAGGTTTGCGCTGTTGGAAGGGGCCAAGTAAGTGTTACTCCACCACTACAGAATTTTATTATGGACTTTATAATTGGAGAGACGGCTCAATTTGTACTTTTCATGTCGTATGGCGAATGACCAATAATCAAGAAGTTCCTATGATACAAAATTGAGAACTTCACATCTAGATGTTCAGACCTTTGGAACTTCAAATACTCTCAATAATCGACTAACTGGTTCATGATGCACACAGGGAACTGCTGTGTACAAGACTGCAGCGGTGGCTAACGCTCTGGGAGTTCCTATTATAGCTGACGGAGGAATCTCCAACTCTGGTCACATAGTGAAGGCACTATCATTAGGGGCATCAACAGTCATGATGGGAAGTTTCCTCGCAGGCACAGATGAGGCTCCAGGCGATTTTTACTTTCAGGTATTTCTTTCTAAATTGTGCTAGGATCTGTACCTGCAGCCATACTTCTCTAGAGATGTCTGGCATGGCCATGAACAATTGGAGTCCCACCTCTTTGTTGCCGTTTTAGGGTTAATGTTTTTCTTCGTATAACCTACAAAATTTTGTCTGTCCTTGTTTTGGCTGCATCAGGATGGTGTAAAGCTCAAGAGGTACAGGGGGATGGGATCTTTGGAAGCAATGACGAAGGGCAGTGATGCTCGCTACCTTGGGGACAAAACACGCCTCAAGATCGCACAAGGAGTATCAGGTTCTGTAGCAGCTAAAGGCTCCGTGCTACAACTGCTTCCGTATACAATGCAGGCTGTGAAGCAAGGATTACAGGATTTAGGAGTTTCTTCTGTCAAGGCCTCCCATGACGGTCTCAATGCTGGAGCCATCAGGCTGGAGGTGCGTATTTTCTATTTCAAATGTAGGGGCAATTAATTTTTCACATTATTGATGTTGAATGTCATTTGCTCGTGTTGCCAATTTGTCGAAGTGACTCAAGATGGCTTTTACGGGCGCAGGTAAGAACAGGTGCTGCGCAAAGAGAAGGTGGTATTCATGATCTTGTATCATATGAGAAGAGAAGATTCTGAAGAACAGTGAATTGATGATTTTTAATATCTTGTGATGAGCTAACGTGAAACATTGTGGATTGCAACCTTTCTTGGGACACTGGTATGTGTTGAAAGAAGGTGCAGACCAGCACAAAGAAGATGCGTGAATGTTGATTTCGGTAGGTTGGGTGTAGACTGCTACAAGAATCTAGGCATGCAGACCTTTTAAAATCAAACAAGACCAAAGTTTTTGTACTGGAGAAACATGTCCTGAAGTCTTTTGGCATGTTGAAGCATTTGAAGCACTACTGGAATTCATACCTAAAGAAAGCCATCTCATTGTAAACTTTATTGAGATAAAAGTCGTTGAAAGAAGTCGAAAGCAATTATTACTTGTACACCCATTTCTTGCCGTCGATGACGTTAATGACCACACTTTTCCATACTCACATCTAGCTGAGATGGGTATTTTCGGTGCGCATTCAATTTTCCATTGCCACTACCAGTACCCACCATTTATGGGTGATTTGTTGTGTAGTGCCAGCGTATCTCACAGCAGACGAGAATGTAAATTTCGAAATTACATGTAATCTGGATGAGACGATGCATTGTACTGAACTCGTGGTCCGACCTGTAACATCAGTGTTGCCGTGATCTGTGACAAGCAAAACGTACACTAACGAGGATGAGGAACAAAAGACGAAAACTTAGGAACTGCGCTGGCACGAAGAAGAAAAGTTGCCAGGAAAGATATCCGTCAGACTCGGACGTACCGGTCCCGTAGTCGATGACATGGGTCCATCGTCGTCGTCTCCACCACAGGTTATCTGAAGCGCAATGTCACCACAACAAGGTTGCTCTATCCACTCACCAGCGGCTTGGTCTTGTACACCGCACCTCTCTCGGTTACAAACCGTCTCCATAATCCAGCACTACGGGGTTACAGCTGCGAGAAATCGCCAATTGCGTTTGTTGATGCTGCTGTCGTAGTAATGTGGGCGTCGAATGCCTCGATGGCTCTCGTCACTTGCCCTAGCCGAGCTGCTTGTGCCTGCACCTCCTCTCCGTCCATCTCATTTTTCTCGCAGTCGAATTCTTACTCTTCAACCGAGTCTCTCATTGTAAGGCGTGCCTCATGGCGACGCGCTGGTATTGCAGGCCCTGCGAGGGTATTGCGCGTCATGGCTACCGCAGATTTGGAGAAGAGTGGGGCAGGAGCTGTAGAGGCGGAGGAGCCTGTCAAGATTGATCGGGTGAGCGGGGTGGCCGGTGCCGTCGGGGTTTGGGATAGACCCGTTTTAGTTCACAATTTTATCTCGATTGTGCGAAAATTTTCCCGAATAGTAGAGGTTGCGGAATTTGAGTGCCAGTTAAACTTTACGCAGGACGCACGACTTGCCATTGCATTATCTTTAGCCTGTTTGTAGTGATTGCACGCGTGGTGTGTACAATCCGGATGCGTACGTTGCGTGCGTTGGCAGTGTTTTGGATCTATCGTATGAAAACGAATCCTCGAATTCTATGCAGATTTTTTTTCTATGAAGCATTGTAATTTGCGTTTTTCATCGGGGGCCTAGTCAGATATGAAGGGGCTGATAATTCAGAAGCCTCTCGATTCGACTAATGTAGTGCCAGTAGAATCTGGTGCAGAGTTAGTGATGAAAAATATTGAGAGAGTATCGTGCATCGCTTTGTGGGGCTCGGCAGCTTATGCCCAGCTGTCAATATCATACTGAGCATATCGTAGCTGAGTGTTTGATATGCAATAATGCTATGCCGATCTTGAAACTGTCTTACATTCGCGCTTTTGGACGTTCTTCTGCAGAAAACTGCAGACTGGCAGAAAGCGCAGAAGGTAATGGAAGACGGAACTATTCACCGGGGTCGTGTAGATGCATGTAACAGCGGCGGATTACTGGTCCGCTTTGGCTCCCTTCAAGGCTTCTTGCCTTTCTCACAGATGGACAGTGGCCGCATACCGAAAGGTGCTCGCTGCCTCTGTGATATTTGTCCAATTTCTATTTATCTGCCACCAACAGAGTAATAGTAGGCTTCAAGCTCATTCTTGATGAGTAAATTTTACTTGTAATTGCTGTGATTATGCTAAATTTGGATAGGGAGTTCTAGGCTTCCAATTAGGGCTCAAACGAAGTTTTTGAAAATGGTACTGGTCTGAACATGGCAATTTTCCTTCGCTGTGTGATCAGATGGTAGCAAAGCACTCGCCGAGATTGCCAAGGAGTTGGTTGGTGATCTTGTCTCCGTGAAGGTATTTCCGCCTTACACCCCTCGATTTCAACCTGTAATGACTTAGAACGGCTCTTTATTTGACCTTCTAAATTTTTTTGAGGGTGTCTGACAGGTGTGGAACGAAAGCATTATATAATTTATTTAATGTCCTTGTTATCAGATGATAGAGGTGAATGAATCAGAACGACGATTGATTTTTTCGGAGAGACAAGCTGTATTGGAGGAAAACCTGCGTTTGGTTGAGGAAGGTTCGGTTTATAATGGCAAGGTCAATTCTGTAACAGACTTTGGCGCGTTTGTTGATCTTGCACTACCAGATGGTACGTAAACTGATCCTTGCCGAATGTACTGCCAGTTTTTGTTGACTTTGCCTCTCGTCGACCAAATATTACCTCTCTGGGCAGTCTACAGAAATTTAGAGCAAGACATGAATCAGAGCGGAATCCTGGATCGACATACTCGTTAAATCTTTGCATACCAGGGCTTTGCCTGCTATTCAGTTAACGAATCATGCTCTCGCTAAGAGATGTTAGAAGCTTTGAGATTGCAGGTACATCATCGGTGAGTGGACTTGTACACATTTCAGAGCTCTCTTGGGATCCTGTCCGTAATCCACGCGATCTTTTAGAAGAAGGGCAGATGGTTCGTGTCAAGGTTATACAACTGGACAAGTAAGTTCTTCAAATTCATTGATTTTTGACTTGTACTCTGAATGCTAGCATTGAATTCAAGGTCGATTCGGGTTGTTATTGCTAGGCGGTAATCAACTGTTCACTCAGAACTTGGAGTTGAGGAGCTTATTTGGTACAGGACCCGCAATTGTAAACGCACAGATCTTTCTGCAAGCTGTCTCATTCTGCGTATGCCGATGAAATTACTTCTGTGGATTCTTTTTATGTGGCGTCTAATCCTGCTGTTGGAAGCAATAGTAGATGTCATGACTATCCATGAAACGACTGTATGATAGAAGCAGTCATGAATTGTATGAATCTGAAACCGTAAAGTCCTCGGACAGGTGCATTCCATGGAATCAGTGGGAACGAGCATTTTCGAAAGAATTGAACATGCATTTCCGAACGTTTATTTGCCACTTGTTCCAATTATACCTTCAAAACACTCAGAACACGGGGGAGCTAACAGTATTCAACGTTGCAGGGAAAGAAAGCGATTGGCTCTATCTATCAAACAGTTGGAGACTGATCCCCTTCTAGAAACTCTTGATACACTGATGCCCGTGCAGACTCAAGTAAGTGATTTTTTTTTCAACTGGAGAGTGACAAGTCGTTTAATGTGAGGTGTGTGTGGGACTAGCAGCACTGGAAGATTGGCAACTGAATATTGTTCTTCACAAGGCTGTAAATATAGCAGGGAGGATGTTGCTGATTCTTTTTACTTCTTATTCATCTAACAGGTAGCATCGGAGCCAATAGAGCAAGACGCTGAACTCATAGGAACATCATTGCCAGGGCTGGAGCAGATTTGTGAGGAACTGTTGAATGAAGAAGGGTATCGTTCATCTTGTACCTGAAACAAAACAAGCGTGTTTGATGTTCGGAAAGGCTCTTACAGTTTGAGTTTTGCATGTCTGTCTCAAGGATGGGCAAATTTAAATTGACAACTTAGTGTGTGGACTTGGCAGAATCACGGGTGTTACACTCGGCAGAACTAGATTGGAGAAGCGTGTAGTGTCTCAGGATTTGGAATTGTGGTTAGCCAATGTAAGTTTCTTTCCTGACCAACCATTAAGTGTCCCTGCTCGATATATTTGATGAACTCTTTAGATTTACATACAATCAAGCGCTCATGTACTCTGTATGCGGAGATAAAATCTTTGAACATGTTTTTTCTCGGAAAAGCTGAGAAAAACTCGAATAGCCCAGGACAATGGCTGCACAACAACAAATGAATCGAGACTGAGGGAACCTGCAACTTTTTTGTGTTTAGATTATCCACTTTAATTGGGGCTGAATCTGGAGACGCTGGTAGACTGCACAATTTAATGGATACCTGTAGTCGAATCTGGAGTTGTGTTTCCGGTATGTCATAAACGTTATCGAAATTACTGAAGTTGGGCAATCATTGTCATCATTTTTTGTGCAGGCACCTGTCGAAGGCGGTAAATTCAGTCTCTTAGCTCGTGCAGGAAGACAGGTAAGGCCAAGTAACCAGTTGATGATGTTTTTGAGAGATCTGAACTTCGTTTCCTTTTTGTTTTGGGACTCGTATTTCCCTAAACTCCGTGTTCATACAGAAATGTGTCATTGAAGTTGATCGCTATTGAACGGGCAGGTGCAAGAGGTACAATTGAACACGAGTCTCGACCGGGAAGGGATTAAGGAAGCTGTGCAGCGCGTGATAGGGAGGGTTCCTTGAGACTTTATTTAAAGGTAGTATTCTAGAGTAAAATTCAGATCTAAACATTGGGTTGCAACGTTGTGGATTTTAGCAAATTGCATCTTTTGTAGCCTTCGCTCGACTGTCCCCCATCTTCAATCCACATAATTCTGAGGATTGATGGCTTTTCCAATTTGAGTTGCAAGTGAGCGGTGAGTTTAAGATAGATCCCCTCAGGGGCCACTATTTTCAGGTGCGCAACAGAATTGTCATCATAATCCTGATTTAGTCAAGTTGCTGACTTGGTTAGCGTGTGCTTTAGCCCCTGGGTAAGTTGATATTGTGGCCCTGCATACCTCATGTCAGATGTAACAAAGCTTAATGAAGTGGTTGATCCTTGAAATTAAGTTTTATGAGTTGCCAGATGGAGGTGGATCAGCTGAGCAAGTAGGCATCAATCCTTAATTGCCAAGAAGTGTCTGGTTTACAGTATGCATTTTGTCATGTTGAATTTTCTGCTCTTACTGTGTACCTCAAAGCATCGTATGATTCGTAGTAAAATTTTTGAAGGTTTTGTTCCACGGCAGCAGGCGTTTGATGGAACTGATCAGCCTTGTCTCCTGTGGTGGTTATGATCTTGATTTTCCACCTCGACTCAAGAATCATTTTGTTTCTGCATCTTACAATAATTTTTTATTGAAAATCATTTATTCAATCAAGATTAATTGTCATCCCCTCCTTCATTGTGGAAAACTTCTATGTTCATTGGTTTTTTTTATTTTATTTTATTTCCAAATTTGAATAGGAAATAGGAGTAGAACTGGACACCCCAAGTCACTTTTTGCAGGGTGTCTTGTGTAGATGGACGTCCCTGTGGATTTGAGGTTCTGTCTTAACCCTTTTTCCCTCAAGTAGTCAACCCAACCCTGGGTGGCTAACTCATGTTGCTAGCCCCTGGTGTTAAATTATGTAGATAAACGGAACTAAGTTTTTCAGGTTTTTGTTTTGCTATTTTCGATCCTCTGCTTTCAGTTTGTGTTTGTGATTCTCCTCTATGCCGTGTTCCATTCCGCTCATTTTCACTTCTCCAGAAACTAATTGGTCTCGTACAAGTGGGTGGAATGCTATTGAGGGTTAAAATTCTATCTTGAGAGGAGGAAATTCATTGTGTGGCATTCGTTTGTCCCAACCTGGTCTTACATTGTAACATGAAGCAGGTACACAATGGCTAAATGCTCGGTGGGGAATCCCAATTGATACTCAACCTTTTCTTCACTAGTCTTAGATTCTAGGTGACTTATATAAATGATAACTCTTAGTTGATGCCAGTGTGACATTGTTCACCAGATGCACAACAAAGTGGAGATTGCCTTGGTCACTTTCGGCAAATCTTCTCTTCAATTTTTTTGAGTATTTTGAAAAAATTGATAAAATAAACAATTAATATAGAAAAAAAGAATATGCATTGCACATATCAATGTTTTAGGTGATGAAACTCATGACTTGTCTGCCTCAGTTGAGAGTCCATCTATCAAAGCATAAAATTATTTATTTGTAGGTTTGCATTCAAATTTAATATTATGATTGAGCACATGTTTGGAGCTTGTTTTTTGATGCTTGGATAGATTTGCACCCGTCTACTGGATGATGATCTATGCAAGGCATCCTGCAAAATACAGATAAGTAATATCTTGTTCAATCTTGTATAACAAGTACACAGTTTGCCCAATAAATCTTCCTTTTTTTTTCATTTTTTTTTGTCATTTATACTTGATAGAAGTGGACGTTGGATAGCTATGTCTGATTTTGTGACTAATGCATTGACAATATTATGAAGATACTTGTTCTAGTACAATATTATGTAGATACTTGTTCTAGTACAACTTGACTTGTCAAAGCAAATAATATATATATATATATATATATATCACATTTAGTTTAGCTAAGTATCAATGATTAAATTCTTATTTAATCACATTATTGTAAGAAGTTTTTTATATTCTTTGTTTCAAGAAAAATTCTAAAAGACATTTCTAAAAGTTTAGTAATATCATTTAATTAAACTCAATTCTAATGATATTCTACTGTTCAAAGAAATTATAGATTTTTTTTTTTTTCATCTTGCTAGTATGTTGTTGATTTAGTTCAATTTATATTTGAATCTAATACCAAATCAAATTAGTTAAGGATATGAACGGCATTTCTTACATATCCTACTTCTCATCTATTGGATAGAATAACATTATTTGTAAATTGACTTAGAACTTATTGTGTAGTTTCTTTTGTTAGTTTGATACCTTTAACCATACTATTTCTTAATGCCTCCTAAAATGCTATGTTCTTACCCCTCTAACTTAAAAACAATTCTTTGTTAGTATGAATTAATTGTAATTATAGTTTATTCTCTCTTGAAAAACTATACATTAATTCTTAGCCATTTAGATTAAATTAAGAATAAGAATAAGAATCTTAGAAATAAAAGTTCCATCAAAGAATTTCATTTGGAATAACTCTTTATTAACAACACATTCAAAAATTAGTTAGAATCTATATTAGAAGCCAACAAAAGAAAGAGGGCATGGACTAATCAACTAAAAAGATGTATATACAACACTTTTGAGAAAATGGACTGTAGCTGCTTTGTAATAAGGTGAGGCAGAAATCTAACAATTTCTTAGATATTGTTTAAAATGTATGGCTCTTTACAAGAAATGCAATTGATCAATAGACTTTGATTAGAGGTTCTTTATACATCAGTAACACATGAAATTTTAAACATTGGTTTTGAATCAAATAAGTTCTTGGCACTAAAAGGTTCAATTTTTAGAATTATACAATCTAAAATTATTTTGCGTGATATAAAGTAGGTTCCTATGGAAGGACTTTGTTATTCTATTAATTGGCATAAACATAAATCTAACAAAAGCAACCCAATTGCATTAAAAATAAATGCAATGTTGCAATAATGTATATGGTTGGAAAGAAGAATTTTTTTGAGTTTTAAAGAAGCTAAAGAAAAATGGTCCTCCAAAACTCAAAATAAACTTTCAAATTCTCTTAAAAAAATCTTTGGCTTTGAATCGAAAAAATTCTAAAGGGATAATTCACAACCACATTTTAAGCCACAAAGTTTTTTATAAAATGCTAAAGTGATTTTTTATATCAAAGGTAACTAAAACAATCTTAAGATTAATATATATTATTATTATTTATATTAAAATATCTCACTTTTACCTTGTTAAATTATAGATGGAAATAGATATAGAATAAATGACAAATAATAAAAATTTAGACCAATATTTTTTTAATTAAAGTTAAATAAAAATGTCAATGCAAAATAAATCCATTAGTAAAAACCATCGATCTAATTTGCAAGCACTATTGATAAGAAATTATCCAAAATATAAAGTTATTTTTATGTAGATGATTTGGCATAACAATATTAATCTAAAAATGTGGAGAGATCAATTGTATCCTAGGTTCTCTTTTCTGTGCCAATTATGCCTCTCAAAATTGCTAAAGCTTACATTATATAGATTTTGGAAAAAAAAAATGTAAAAAAAAAAAAACAAAAACAAAAACAAAACAAAACAAAAACAAACAAAAACAAACAAAACAAAACAAAACAAAAACAAACAAGAGTGTTGTTATGGATGTCCATTATATCACACAAATCATATTTTTGCAATGCTATTACTTCTAAGTACAATCTATTTAACATTGTCTAGATTTTATTAAGTATCCTATGTACAGGGCATATTTGGAGGCAACATATATTTATATATATAAAAAAAAAGTAGCCAAAATAAAATAATAAAATAATTAGATTTAAGTACTAGTTTTCTTTGTAAGTAAAAGAAGGTTTAGATAGCTAGGAAAATTTTAGGATATAGATTTGATAATACAATTAAGTAGAACTCAAGGCTTTTTCTCGATAGAATCATAATACATAATCTTTTATGAACAATAAGCACTGCTTGTATGTTGTATACTAAAACCACATAATATATATATATATATATATATATTGTTGTTCTATGTGCATCTAATCGAAAGGGTATTTAAAATTTTGGCTTCTCATGTTTTCAAGATTTAACATGACAGGCAAGCTCTATCGCATGTAGTAAAAAAAAAAGTTGATTATTAATTAATTTCTTATTAAGTATGTTCTTAACTGAAGCAAATAGAAATACATATAATTTAAGATTTAAAAAAATAAATTATTATCCTCTTTTGGATATTATCATTTTTATGATTTTTTAAAGCTATGTACAACATTCTACATGAAAAAAACTAAATTAGATTCTGTTGTCTTCATCACTAAGTCTTGTTATTTTATTTTTTTTACTTGGTCTTAGGATTTTTATTCTATTGACAAGCTTTCACACTTTTCAAATATGTATTTATGTATATATATATATATATATATATATACATCCATATATATAATTTAAATATTTATATAAAAATATAATATAATATAATTATATAATTATAAATTAATTTATTAAAATTATATGAAATTTCGTAAATAAATAAATTACTAGCTCTAAGAAATATACAAATGTTGACCTGGTATTTTTTACATTAAAATATTTATATTTTTAGAATAACATATAATTTGTATATAATATTAATAATTTTTCATCTTGGCAAATTCATGTTGGACTTGAAATTACAAAGAGAGAGAAGAACAAAATATGTCAATTTTTTATATTTTTTAAAATATTATATTTAAGAAGTTTGAAATAAAATTTAAAAATATTATTTATAAAATTCAACTAATAAGGTTGAGACTCATATGTCATTTTTAGACATACATGCAAGGTTTCTATATTCAAATGGATGCTACATCCAAGAGTCGTACTTCTGCTAGAATGTGGATTTATTTAATACATTTGCAAGTCTAATTAATGAATAATAAGAGCATTTTCAAATTCAAAAGGATAAAAAGAAACGGCAAAAAATATCTAAGTGCATATGAATACTAAAAAAGTTATCCCAACATAAAAACAGGAATTCTAAACATTAATACAGAAAGACCAAAAAAAAGAAAATATAATTAAAATATGAAAGTGATGTTAAACATGGATGGGACCATAGTCGTAAATTGTTTAAAACATTGATGTCTCCATGTGGCCAAATCATACAGCTGAACACCATCAATACCCATTCCACCATGGGAATTGAAAGAAAAAGAAAAAGAAAACATATATGTTGATATATATATATATATATATATATATTGCCTGGATCTGGGAATGAATCAAGGTTACAATCGAGATTTCAAGAGAGGCCCTTTCTTGTCAAGTGTGTTGTTTAGATGAATTCATTTTGCTGGTAGAGCGATGTGACTTTGGAGTAAATGCGATGTGTCCTGAGTAGTAATCTGCCGATTAGCATATTAAAATACTGTGAATGATTTTCGGGTAGAGCACTGGTGAATGGCTTCGGTGGTTACTCACTTTTGTCAGTAATCGCTCATTTGTTCCCAGTTAATCTTCTCATGTCGTCGTTAAGAAATCACTATATGTGTTGGCATCGGGGGACTTTCGTGCTGGCGATGGAGTTACTAGCGTCTACTTCGATATCATTCAACCCAATTGAGCAAAAGAGAGAATGTTGAGCATGAAGAGATGGAGTATTGGCTGCTTCTGTCCTCGTTGCAAGCCTGAGGACGCATTCCACACCTCGCTTTTCTGGAATCACTGATTTACTTCATGAGCTTGGTGAGTACATGAATCGATTTAGCATGATCTGGTTTCGTGTGTAGTGTTGAATGCTAGCCTCTGCCAGTTTGGGTCGAAATCTTCTCCCCGACTGTAAACGCCATTTACTTTCGTGCATAGAGGTTTGCCATTCTGTTTCCGTATTCCCGGAGATGGAACTGACAAGCAAAACCAAGTCAAAGTTTGATTCTAACGAGAATTTTCCATATACTCCGACATCAGCAGCACTCTAATTCTTTCACAAACTTGAGACCCAGTTGAGGGAATTCAAGCTGAAGGCAGCTGAAAACAAGTGGGTGCGTTCCTCGTTCTTACGTTATATTGACATGATCGGTGGCGACCATGAATTGCACATCCATTTAGAATCGATGCAAAAGGCAACCATGTTGCAGTATGTAGTCGATAAGAATGACCACAAATCGAACAAATGCTAGAATGCGCTTCTAAGCATTCCTCCTGCATCAGTGCTCAGTTCTTCCCTTTTCTTTTTCATTCAGGTTGCAAAGATGTGGTTTCCTTCGATCCCTCGACTCGGCTCTAGTTGGGCCCACTGATGATGTGAACCGTGTGAGAAAACTTGCCGCAGGTGATTGGTTAGTGACAAATACAGTTCAAGTTGTATCAACTTAACCAGTGCCGCATGAGTTTTTGTGAATTTGTTGATGTCATGAATTCATCAACTTCTTGTATACATATTTTTTTAATGATAATAATCAATAACCCAAGGCAATGAATATGAACACATCAAGCTACAATGCAATCTAAAAGCTCTTAATAAACTATATGGTGGTATCCATACACCATATACACAAGTGTACCAACTACCAATCTTGGTTTTGAATTTTTCAAAAAGTTGTAGCTATGTCAAAAGTTGTATTGAATTGTTCAGTATCCTATTTGTCATTTGTTCATGATGTGGCTGTTTCTACAAAGACTTCACAAACACTAGGATCTTTTTGAGAACTTGTGATGAATTGCAGTGATGAATTTGCACAGAATTTTTGTTATTTTATGCTCCAAATCATGCAGATCCAGACTTACAAAATATTGGAATTTCACTACCCAGTACAGTGCAATGTGATCACTAAAGGTCATTCGAGGGAAAAGCTCAGGAAGGCGAACAGTGTGCAGTGCAATAGCCTGGACCCATTTTCTGGGTAGACATATCTCAATTGTAGAAAATGAACAATTTAGCATTCAAATTTTTTAAAAATATATGAATTATTAACCATACACTTATATAGAATAATATATATTAAACTATGCAAGAAATAATCACTTTTACTTGGTCAACTAATTTAATTAATCTTTTAATAATTGGATTCTTTTTTTTAGTTTAAGTTTAAGTTTTTGTTAATGTATAAATGTGAATTTAAAATTTTATATTGTATTTTTAAATTAATTCATAAATAATAAATAATTAAGAATGGTTATATTTAGATGACTTTGAAGCATGTAATAATATTTATTTATTGTAAGACAATCAATATATTTTAAAAAATCAAAACAAAGATTTTTACTAGAAAAGATGAGGTGAAATACATTTTATATGACATATGCAGTGTTGTCTCCCAAAACATATCATAATTCTAGTTAAAGAGATGATTTTTATAAAACTTTCAAAAATGGCATAAATAAATCCCTAAATAATTATTAAAATAAATTAAAATAAAATATTTATATTTTTCACAATTTTTATAATCAAAATATGATTAAATCATGATATGACTAAAATTTTATATGTGCAAGTCTTTTGAAATAAACATCATATGTAAATCCATGGCTAAAGACTTAGAGGTTTAGAATTAATTTTCTTAATAAGAAACATAAATTGCTTTAAAAATTATATATCAGATTTTTATAATAAGGGAATGAGAATAGGAGACAAGTGCTCGAAACAGGGATAAAGATTGAGAATGGAGATGGGAGAAGCGGAGATTGGGATTAGGAATGGGTGGAGGGAGGGAATGGAGATTTGGAACAAGAGGTATAATGATGGTTTTGATAGGTGGGTTGATTTATCATTCTTCTATTTTTATGGCCTCGTTTCACTACGTACATTTTTCTAAACCCCAAAAGCTTCTAAAAGAGAATTTTTCTTCAACAAGTGAAAAATTTCTATAAGATTTTTGTATCATGGATTTCCAAAGTGGGCTTCTAAGCATAAAGACCTTCTAAGTTACATAATTGTGGTTGTACTAAAACAATGCAAATGTGTGTGTATTATGAATTATAAACCGAAAATCAATGTTATTTTATTAATTTATATTAGTGTATGTGAACTTGTTTTTAGATTTTGATGTCTTTCAATATCATTTCTTATTTATATATGAAAATGCAGTCAAAAGAAATTAACTGTTAAATAGAAATCACATCATAGTGCAGATCAAAATCAGACATCTAATAACAGCATCAGATGATAATTGTAGTGTGTGTGGAGGACCTCCACAACAGTTATGATCGCTGGCCTGTCCAATAATGCATGACAACAACTTTGTGTATATAATATATAAATACTCTCTGTATTATATTCATGAAAGAAGCCCCCTCCCCCTTCCCAATGATGATCCTTAGTTTCTGTGTGTTTTTTTTTCCCCCTTTCTGATGCCTGTGGTGAACATGTTTACCGTTGATTTGGATGTTGCACAGTTGGGTTATTTCCCAACGACCCCACATCATGACATCTTCCAACACTTTTCAGTGCTTTGTTACAGAAGTGGAACTCCTTTGAGTGCAAGTAAGTCTTCAACGTCCTTTCTACCATTGGAGCTAAAATGCTATTGTTCCTTCAGCCCTTCTACACTCACAGAGAGCCACTCAGATCATTGTAGCAATATCTGTCTACATACTACCAAATGTGGGTAGTACAGAATGATTTCTGGATCTGGTTTGCACCTGAGGCTTGAGTGGAACAGATGGTTTTTTCACAGCTCATTCTTCTGTCGCAACTCATGACTGCTTGTATTCTACAAGAAGCTCAAAAGAACAATAAATGTGCATAACCAGAATGCCACTTTCTTGGCCTAGAATTGGGAAGTGACAGAAAGTGGAAGAAGGAATGGGAACATCATACAAGGTCTAGAAGCATGGAAAGGAAGGTGGGGGGGGGGGGATCTGGCGCTGGTGCTGCCGAAAGGAAGGAGGGGCGGGGGGTTCTGCCAAATGGAGCAGACGACGACCCATTCATTCAGAAAAAAGGAAAGGAACGAAGGGAAGAAGAGAAGCAGAGAAGGGAAGGGGAGCGAGGCAGAGCAGAGAGACCCACTGAGAGAGACACACACACACACACACAGAGCAGAGAGATAGCAGCAGAGGGGGAGCGCAGAGAGCAGAGTGTAGTGGACAGAGAGCCCTGAGTCAGACAGACAGACAGGCCCACACGTACACACAGACAGAGCAAGAATGGCACACAGAAATATATCTATCTATATGTAAATATATCCGCGACGGACGGCCCCCTCCCTCCTCCTCCCCCGCGCGCACTCACTTGGGTTATTTTACAATTATTATTATTATTACTATTCTTCCAAAGGAAGAGAAGGAAAGCGAAGCGAGGGGAGGGGAATATAATATCATGAAGAAGAAGACATGGGAGTCGGTTGTCAGTTGGATGAATAATAATCAATCCCCAGTTTGGCTTCTTCTGCTTCTTCTTCTTTTCACATGGGTGTTGTGCCCTTTTTTGACTCTCTCTCTACCGTTCTGGTCCTGGTCCTGGGCCTTGAGGAGGTGCACACTCTACTTCCTTCCCTTCCTTCCCTTCTCTTCCTTCCCTTCCCTTCCTCCTCCTTATTGATTGTTTGCTTTGTGAAGAAGAGTATGTTAGTTGCACGATAGGCGATTTAGCGTCACTGCGAGCGTTCGGGCTGTGTAGAAGTATATCAATTCTGTTACCTCATTGATCGGCAGTCTGTTTTTATTTATGGTATCTGTATGGAGAGGTTTGTGTAGATTGTAGTTTTTAACAGTTTTTTTTAAGGTGTGCTGGTGATTTGAGGAGGTTGTGTTGCGGTAGAAGCGAGGGCGATGATGTGGGTGTGGTGTTACAAGGCTATGAAGAGGAGGATGCATTGTTGTGTTCAGTATATTGTGTTTCCCTCCGTCCCGTTTGATTTAGTTACTGGGTGTGTTAAGTAGTGTGGAATAGGTCTTTTTTTTTTTTTTTTTTTTTTTTTTTTGTCTTTGTTTGTTACTCTCTCACCTTTCAATCTCCTTACGTGTGTTTCATCAGATTTCATTAGATTGTAGTACTAGGGGAATAATCTCTGGCACTTAACACGCTAAAAATTGGATTGCACTTCAGATTGGTTTTCTGTATTATTTGGAGAGGTTGAATCTGAATTTTCTGTGTCCGATTGATTTTAGTAGAAGCGAAGTAGGTTCAATCTCGGTGTGTCAGTGGGTTTGTGTCTGCATGCTCCTTTTACTTTCTTCCTTTCTTTTGTCTTCATTTACTGTCACCTTCCTTCCAATTATTCTATAATATTTTTTTCACGGCGCAGGGACCGATGATTGCCGTAGCAGGAGATTTTCAAGAAGATCGTCAACTCTGCGCATATGTGTGCCTCGGGGGTTTGAGTCAATGTGACTGATAACGGGGTGAATAAATATTCGGAAGTAGCATCTAGGGCTTCACCTCAATTAGGTCATTGCCAGCGCTACAGGAGCAATAAGAAAGGCCAGAGTAACGGAGACGGCCTACTTATTCTAGATATCATTCTACACGGCCTACTAATTTTCTGGTTTCTAGATATCTCGGTTTCAACACTGTTGGACTCATACAGCAAAATATACAACTGTGTGGACATTGTTTGTCTGACAAACAGAGCAATCTGCATTGAATGTTTGTCGGTGGCAGTGATACAGATGGTTGTATTTCTGAGGTGGTGCTTATTGATGGTGGAGGTGATGGTACAAATTATTGACATTGCATGAATATTATCGGGCTAGTTCGTGTGGAGATCATTCGGTCAAGGTTGAGCAATCATATGGCCAAGTGTTTGTAGGAAAAAGTTTCGGAGATGGCGCTTATGCAGTCTCATTGGGGAGGAAGGGGGGTGAAACTTCTGTGGGTCAAGAGAGTAGTGATACTATTGGTGTTATTGAATGTGTTCCAGCTCTTGATTTTATTGAATTCCGAGAATCGGCCGGTAAAACCATCGACAGCGCTGAAGGACACTCCTAGTTCACGACCTCAAGGTTTCAGTGGAAGGCAGTCACTTGGAAAACCCTGGCCTCTATTGGGTGCATTCACATCATGGACCGTGGACCCTGACCTTGATCCGGATTCCTGTGAGGCGTTCTTTGGCAATGGCTACACTCAAGCCTTTACCCTCCTCGACCCAGGGCCACACAGTCATGCTAGAGGTAGTGTGGTGAAGGAAGACAGTAGGGTTAGATCTAAAAGAATGCAAGAAATAGTAGAAAGTTGGAGAGAGCGCGAAGTGAAGCAAGGACTGGGGCAAGTTAAAGATGAAATCCATGGAGTTTCTTCTCAGACGGATGAGCAAGCAGCTCAAATGGGTAAGCAGAATAAAGTCTATCAGCCTTCACCTAGAGGTGGTCTGTTTCAGTGCTTTTACAGCCAGACATTGCGCACTTCCATCTGCGAAGGCACAAACATGATCATGTATCCTAAGAAGATAAAAATGTCCAAGGGTGGAGAGCTCCTATTTGCTGTTATGGGACGAAATGAAGAAGAAGAACTACCATATTTTACAACTGGAGCTTTCGAAATCATGGTCCCAGAGAAGGAGGAGAGGCGGGCTTTGTTTAACAAGAGTATGTTGGAGCGACTCATACCTGTAAAATCAATTACGAAGCACACCATGCATCATCTATTTGAACAGATTCGAACAATTCCAGTTGACGAAGTCATTTGTGCACAGGTAAAGAAGTATCTAAGAGGCGGCGTATTCCTTGTGACAAATAGTTTGGCAGGTTTTGACGGTAGAATCCATCTGAGACCCTAATAGAAGTTGGAGTCCTACAGCGTGTCCATTGTGCGTGTGAGGATCTTTGCTGTTCGTGCTTTTTGTGATCAGCGTAACTGAAACTTAATATCTTGGACGTGTTTCAGAGAGTGTCGACACCAACCATTGTTGTGACACGTTTTGAGTATGCGAATCTTTTCCACACTGTCACCGACTGGTACAGTGCGTACATAACCTCTCGAGTAACGAACCTGAAAAGAAGACCTCGTTTGGTTTTTGTGGATGGCCATTGCAAGGTGTGTATCGCTCTGACATATTTCTGGTCCCTTTCAAAAACTTTTCAGTACGTACAGGTGAGCTGCATGAGTGAGGCACCCCTTTGAAAGTGCCGTAGTGAAGAATGAAGTGATTAGTTCAAGTGGAGAAACCGATAAAAGTAAATGCAGTTCATATTTATGCAGACACTCATCAAGGCATCTTCAATTTTCGATATCCTTCAGTTTGTACTAGACTTAACTGTTCTACGTAACATATGTACTAGATTTAACTATTTTACTAGATTCAATGTGTACTAGACTGAACTGTTTTACGTAACATGAAGGTTATTTCTAAACTGTTTTTTTATTTTTTATTTTTATCATACTACTTATCAGAACTGAATTGCCGCTATCTACTTGTATGTTAACGTTGTGCAGTCCCCTATGGACGAAGCTTGGCAAGCAATGTTCAGTGGAGTTCATTTTGCAAGGCATTTAACAGGACCAGTGTGCTTTGACCACCTGATCTTTGCACCCTTGGGATATAATTCGCCTCTTTTCAAAGGCCTTGATCTTGGCCTTTCTTGCACGGGTTGTGCTCCTGAGGACATTCCAAATAATCCCAGGCACAACACTGCTCGAATTCGTGAGTTTGGTGAATTTTTCGTTGCAGCTATGAATACTACAGCTAATGTCATGCCTCAAAAGGCCATCTTTACGTTCAAGGTTTTGTTTGTGCGAAGAGAAGATTATCTAGCACATCCACGGCATTCTGGAAAGCCCGAATCCCGCCTTAGTAACGAAGTTGAAGTATTAGAAGCGCTTCAGGCTTGGGCCTCTTCGAGGTCTGGTATGAAGAGAGAAGATGGTGTCGAATTGAGCGTTACCATCGTGGAAGGGTTGTTTGCTCATTGGGCATTACATGAACAATTGAAGATAGTACGAGAATCCTCGATCATTATTGGAGCGCATGGGGCTGGCCTTTCACATCTTTTGTTTGCCATGCCCCGAGAGACGGTTATTGTTGAGCTGTCTAGCCCCTTCTTTGTGCGCCCACATTTTGAAGCCATGTCCCAATGGATGGGGATGGAGTACCATAAAATAGACATGGCGAGCTCCGAAGCAGATTGCTCGGAGGTGATTAGGGACCTGGATCAGATATTTCTGGGATTAATACGCCGGCGGGATTACAAGTTGACGATACCGTAGAAGCTCGTTTCCAAAGATTATTAGTCATTCTTTAAGTTGCTTCGATTGCTTAGTAGCAGAAGCGTCCAGATTTTGGATCGTGGGGGGAGAGTTTGTTCAAGTTGGATTACCAGAGTCGGCTAAGTCTACCTTTTGGAAGAGTATAATTGTTACCAGGTAAATATTTCTTACAAGGATAGCAGATGACATCTTGTATCGGCTCCGTCCACTTACACAAATATGTTTATAACAGTTAGAGGGTCTTGGAGTGTAGCTGAGAGTTGGCTTGACCTACAGAAGCTCGTGTGTTAATCAGAAGCAAGCTCTGCCATTGTGCCTAGTGAAGTGCAGTGGTGTTTCGGAATATTATGTATCCTGTCGTGCCACACGCTATTTGCTGAAGTGTTGCAGTATGTAGTGTCATTGATCACATGAGACCCTGAACAAGACTATCTAATTGCAGGGCATAACTCCATAGACACATTTGCATCACTGGTACGCTGGTCACCGAGATTTGCTAAATCTTATTCAAGAACAATGTAATGCTAGACGCACTTCATATTGACATGCTATTCCTGTATTTGATTTCAGTGATTGAGACATTGTCACTCTGAAATTTCGGGAGCATTAGATATTTCTTACACCTTTACACCTTCTAAGTACTCTGCACAACCTGATTTTATTCAGTGCCTGCAGTGGTGCCATTAAGGCAGTGATTCCAACATCAAATTCTCTTCTAGAGGGATCTTTGTTTACTTGTGTATTCTTTGAAATGATTTTAGACTTTTCACCAGTTATAAAGTATCATAACGAAAATCTGATTGTGATTCTTTGTTACACATGGCATTAATTAATGTGTAAGTTGATCATTAGGGAGACATTGCATTTAGTAAAAATACCATCTAATGAAAATGTGTATATTCAAGTTCTAAATTATTCTTCAAATCATTGAAAGTGATTTTTTCTAATTTTTTTTAATGAATCCTTGATAACTATGTTTGTATCAAATATTTATAATAAAATTAAGTAACCAAAAATAAAATGAAATAAATTAAACTAAAAATCTGACAATACTTGATTCCCAAATTTATCATAAGACTAAATTAATTTCTTTAAAATTGTAAGTATGGTGGTAAGAAATAGAAGCCTTTAAGAAAGTTGGATTCTTATATATGATTTTTTATTATGAGTATTTTTAAAATGGAATAGCTTTGTATGATTTAAATGCATTTTAAAAAGAAAAAGGATATTTAGTCTAAAAATCATTAATATATTTTCTTATAGTCCTTGCTACATATGAGTTGTTGACCATGAATACTTAGTAATGTTATTTATATTTAGGAAAATATTTAATAGACCCTTCTTTTAACTAAATTGATCTACCTTATAATATCTAGTACTAGAAAAATGGATCACTTCCAAACACTATCATTATAAACATGGCCTTCATTCCAACCCCCTCATTTTTAATTCCTACTTTCTCTGTTCTTAGCCTTCATCCCAATATCCCTCAAATCCAATCCCATTTCTCTCTGTTTCTATCTATTATTCCAATCCTCTCCTATTTTCATTTAAAGATTTTGTCATTGTATTGCAAAACAAGAAGGTTGATATAAACTTTGTTGATATGACCCACATGTTGTGTTGCTTGCAATTGGTTTTGATACAATTCCCATCCCTCCATTATTGTAGCTTCATCACACTATGTGGTAAAACACACAAGTTTATATCAACACTCTTGCTTTGTAATACAATAGCAAAACCTCTAAGTATGAGTAATGGAAGATTGGAATGAAAGCTAAGAACAAAGGGAGCAGGGACTTCGAATAAGAGGATTGGAATAAGGACCACAATTGTAATGATGATAATAGAGTGGGTTGATTTAGTAAAAAGATGGATCTACTTAACACTTCTCCTAAATATAAATAACATTACTAAGCATTTATAGTCAATAATTGTCAAAGATAAGAATTTCAAAGAAAATAAATTCTCAATACACTCTTGTGTCACTAAAAAAAAACTAAAAAGTCACTCAAAAGGTGATGTAATATTTAACTAAAAGGGCTATTGCCAAAAACAAGAAGATTAGAAAGTCTTGAAATAAGACTAAGGACTAGAAAGGTATTGACAAGAGTGAAGAAGGCTTCACTCTTGCCTCCATATATATCCTTAACTAGGAGCCAGATGGTGATGTCCTATAGGACCTCCAAAATATGTTGACTTTGCTAATGACATGTCTTAACTTGCAAGGAAAGTTATCTATGTATGTGCCACATGGTTAGCTTATTCCACAAGCTACTATACGGAGTTAACTTGTTCCACAAGCTACCAACACGTGATTAACTTGTTGGCCAAGTTTCAAAGCTACAAACACATCTAAAATCAAAATCACATCTATAAAGCTTTCAGGAAGCTTCACTAAAAGATTTTATAAAACTAATCTATATTTACCTACTTCTATTTAATTATATAAGTAATTATTGAGGTAAATGTATATGTCCATGATATTACCTCTCCTTCTAAGAACAAGTTCCATAAGGAGTAGTCTTCATATGTTAAGGAAGTCCAAAATGCTGCGAATTGTATTTGTCACAAACTTTGATCTTTTTTTTCTTTGAAGATGGTTGATAGGCCCTCTCAACCATCAATAGTTTTCCACCCCAAGGCAAGAAGACCACCCTGTTATTTGGTTGTTGTTGTGACCTTTGTAACTTCTTCCAAATAAAATATTTGGAACATCGTGAGGAATTATTCTTACTTATAATAAAATCACCAAACAACAGGAGTCTCTTCCAAGGTCGTGATACCATACATGTTATATCTTGCCATCTAATCGAGGAAAGACATGTCATTCTTGAGGATCTTCATCTCAATTTCATCATCTTGAAGGTTGTGACAATTACAATATTTCATCTAGTAATTCGACAAATGAAAGCTCTTAAGTTGAATCTGTTGGTTATTTGTTCTCCATCTCTTTAGCATCACAAATACACATAAGCTATAAAAAAAGATAGAAGGTAGAATGTTATCTTCCTTCGAACCTATTTCTTTTATAGTAAAGATTTGTTATTTTTCATCTTGATTTTGATGGATTTTGTTGATGAAAAGCTTCAACTTTCTTTGCTGCATTTGCAAGATTCTTTGATGGCTCCCATGTGTATTCACTAATATCATATCTATGCCAATGAATAAGATATTCCAACCTATTTTTGCACTGCCTTGAGTCTAAGTCTTCTTCCACCTCAAACTCTTAATTATTATCTATTTCTATAGGAAGAGGTGGCAATTATCTTCTTTTCAAAATATTCACTATCTTATATGGCTCAAGAAAGGACATGTGAAATACAAGGTGGATTTTCATAGACTCTGGTAGATGTATCGATAAGCAACATGATTGATTTGTTCACAAGTAGAAAAGATCCTAACCTATGATAGTCCAACTTATTATAAAGACACATAGACTTGATATTGCGACGAAGTAACCATATCTTATCACCTATGTTGAACTATGGTTGCTTCTTGTGATAAACATCTGTGTTTACCTTTTTCTTTTAATTATATCTTTATTGTTGCATATAACTTTGACAAATGATTTGCTAAATCTTTTGCAATAGTATTATCAACTTTTAAAAAGTCAAAAGTATCAAGTCATGGATGATAACCATAATTAGTAAAAAAATATATTTATTGGATAGAAGAATGTATTGAATTATTATATGTAAACTCTGCCAATGGCAAAAGAATTGTCCAATCATCTTGATGATAGTTGATAGTACACTTTAAATACTATTCCAAAATTTGATTCACTCATTGCGTTTGTTCATCAATTTGAAGATGAAAAGCTGAAGAAAGCTTTATATCCATCTTTAGAATCTTGAATAAGGTTCTTCAAAATTTTCATACAAATTGAGTCATCCTATCTGATATAATATCTTTTGGCAATCCATGATAGTAATAGGTATTATCAATAAAAAGTTTAGCTGTTTCTTCACCTGAAATAGATTTTGTATATGGTATAAAATATGCCATTTTGGTGAAGCAATGTATGATTACAAATATGGAATCATATGAACGTGAGACTAGGAGATTAATGATAAAATCCATAGAAACAGAAGACTGTAGTTGTTTTGGAATATGTAACAGTTGAAGTAGTCCATAAGGTCAATAGCAAAGAGTTTTGGATCTTGAAAAAATATTTTATGATTATGCAAAGTCTTTAACTACATTCTATATTTGAGGCCATAAAAAATCTCTTGATATTAGCTCCAAAGTCTTTTTGTGTCCAAAATGTCTGGCTACTGGAAAATCATGATGAACTTGAAGGACACATTATCGTGCTTTGCCTTTTGGAATATATAAAAAATCTTTGAAATATTTTAGGTTGTTCTTGAATTCAAACTTTGAAGTGTCATAGGACTTAAAAGAAGTATTCTTAATATCATGAACAAGAAGATTAGAAGACATACTTAATTGAATTTGCTTGATAAAGGTTGAATCAACAATCAATGTTGATTTTATTGCTCAAAGATGAAAATGCTTGGACTTCAAGAGGATAGTTCTTTGCTGATCAAAAGATGCATCTCTTTCTTTTGGTGGAAGATAAGAATGTCTAGAAAAGGTGTCTTATAGACCTTATTATTTTTCAGATCGATAAGTAATCTTGAAATTGAATCTGAATAAAGACATACTCTAATGGGCTTGACGACGATTCAAAACATGTGCTCACATGAAGTACTCGAGGTTCTTATGCTTCGTATACACAGTAATTGGACTTGAAGTGCCTTCTAGTTAATGATGCCATTCTTGAACTGAATCTACGATTGCAAAGGATTTTTTGTCATGGATCTCATAATTAATTTTGGCTGCTAAAAATTTCTTGGAAAAAAAGCTACTAGGTGGAGTTTTTGATCTATTCCCATTTGTAAAAATACGACACCTATAGCAAAGTTTGATGCATATGTTTCCTTAAAAAAATGCATTAGAAAAGTTGACACAATACAAGATTAATGCAAAAGCAAACTCTTTTTTTAAAACATAAAATGATGCTTCTGTTTTTTTATTCTACTAAATTTTTTCTTCATAAGTCAAATATATAAGTGGAGTTGCAACTTGAAAAAAGTTCTTGATGAAGATTTGATAATAATTAGAAAAGTCTAAAAAGCATTGTACATCTCGTACTGTTCTTAGAATCTTTCAATCTATGATAGTTTGAACCTTCTTGGGATCCATCATAAGGCCTTTGTTGGAAATGATGTATCCTAAAAATTCAACTTGAGTAGTGTAGAATATACACTTTTCTAACTTGGTGTGTAATCTTATATCTTTAAATTTTTGTAATATGCGACAAACATAAAGTTCATGTTCTTTTGTATTCTTAGAGTAGATTCAAATATTATCTAAATAGTAAATAATAAAATCATCTAAAAACTCATAAAAATCTCATTCATAAGCTGTTGAAAAGCGGCTGGTGCATTCATGAGTCCAAAAGGCATGACATTATATTCAAAATGTCCATATTTAGTTCAAAAAGTAGTCTTCCATTCATCCCCTTCTTTGATACGAAGTAAGTTATATGCTCCTCAGAGATCTA